TGCGAGTAGTAAAATACGCGGCTTAATTGCTTAATTTCTCACAGCTAAGCCCGCTCTCCCCCTCACCTCGCTGCCCCTCCCCCCCACCCCCCACCAACACTGAAGAACAAAGGCATGCGCCCGTTACTTCGGTCTTCTTACTTTTACACCCTATCAACATTACTTCTCGCGTGACACTTTAATTATACCGCCACGAAAATCGGACAGGAGGCATAAGGGACGCGCCATGGTAAAAGAAAGCCTTTTTCATTCTGCGATCCAATTTTAATTATTAAACCGCCAAATTATCACCACGATTGCGTCATGTGTGACACAAAAGCGGCTCGACAAATTGCGAATACGATGGGAAGCAAGTAAAATGGATTATTATCCTCAGCGCAGCAGAAAGAATTTTCCAACATAAAAATTCACGAAATCACAAAAACATAAAAACGTTGTATCTTATTTAAATTTCACGTGTTTACGCGCGCGCGCATATTTTCTTATATATATATATAATTTCTTACTTACTTATTGTTAGGTATTTATAAATAGAGAATGTATATTTATCTTTTTATAGATAGAGAATGTATATTTATCTTACATGCGTGCACGAGGTCAGAAAAAATTGCAATATAATATTGCATTCTTCGAAGAAAAAAATTAAACTTATGCAAAGTATTCCGAATAAATCAATAGGTAATGGATTATATAAAGCTTGTTAAAGCTATACATATATTTGAACAATATTCAGATCATCATGATAATATAAATAACTTACAGAAAATAACTACTCACAATATTGATTTTACGTAAAGTAATAAATAACTGAAAGTTTATAAATTAGATAATATATTTTTTAGATTAACACTTATATCATAATACTTTAACATATTATATTTGACACAGATCCTGAAAGATACTGATTATGCGCGCGTTAAAGCATTAAAATAATTAAACATCAGATATATTTAGTCGATTGTTATTAAAAAAAACATCAAATTACATTTTCGCTGATTGCGACGCGGAGTAATATATCTCGAATAAAACTGTATAATTTAAATGCTTCTTTACGCATAAAGTTTCGCATGTCGCGACTTTTTAATGCTGAAAAAAAAAAATATTCAGCGTGCACTATTTTCTCTGTTAGTCGTAAACGCTATCTCAAATTTACAACGCTTATAAACACTTATTGTTACAGTCGTTGCATTATTTTGCCAATCTGATCAATGCTAAAGCAGTATTAAGCGATTAAATAAGATAATTTTATGATGATTTGACGATTATTATGAAAACGATGCTATGTTGTTGTAGCTATATTGATGCTATGTTTAGTAGCTCGTGCGATACTATAAAAGAATTCCACATATAAATTTTTACATATATATTCACCGCAGGAGAATCGCTATAAACTTTGGCTCCGATTCCTAGGTAATCGCGACAAGAATCCTCGTGCTAAATTAAATTAATAATTCATGTATATTAACGGCATTCAAATTGCATTCCGTAGATTGTGTGGTCTTTAATGCGATTAGAACGCATGGACATTACCTTTTACGCGCGATAGTAAAATTGGCATAAAATATTCATGATAAAAATATTTATCCTCAATTGTTTTTTCTTTCGTCGATAATTTCTGGTTAATATGAATTTAAGCGCGATGGATTGCAAATACGCTTTCATTCTTTGCATAGATTCTTCAATCGACAATCGTATAATCGAGTAATGTACTAGTAAAATGTATCATATATTATACTGCAAAGAAATAAAAAATGGAAAAATAAACAGTTAAATTCCGATTAAATATTTAGCATATATTAATCGATATACAATGCATTGGAGTTATAATTATCATTTTTTCCAGCACCATTGATTCTTTGCGCTCCTTACAATCGTGAAAATTATTTAGATTCATTAATATTAGTATACTAATTATAAGCGCGCTTCTTTCCTTTCCGTCGATTAAGGTACACGTAACAACGTTTGTACGGCTTACGATAGTCATTGCATCGAATCGGATTATGAGAATGTCTTGCTGGGATATTCCGTTGTCGAACATAATAGGAATATTAGATCAGAGTATCACGTAATAGATATATGAATGCAAGATAACGGTAATCAGATGAACACATTTTCTTTTATTCGATCATCAATAGGTAATTTTGCTATGTATTTACACAGTACTTCACACACATTCCACGTATTTATAGTATTATTTTTTTCTCTGACAATGAAATGATATCCTTATCGAAACTACCGGCACAATTCAAAATCAATATCGAATTCTTTTCACGGATCCGCGGATGGAGAGTTAATTTTCCATCGCGTTTTCGAGGCAAATGGCGTGGATGAATAAACGGCTTGGTAATGATTTAGATCAAGTAGCGCGCGTGCGTGGCCCTTCGTTAATCTCTCTCGAACTCGCGAACTAAAAGAATTCAGCCTCTCTGGCAAACAGTTAAGTTTTCTTATATTCTCACGATTCAGTGGGGAAAGTCGTTTTTCTTACGTGATTTCCGCCGATTTACATAGAGCTACAGAGCCGAAACGCGAGCAAAAGTCCTAGCAAATAAATTAAAGATAGACGATTTCTTTTTTATACTACGGAATAACTTGCAGCTATTCGTAAAGATCGCGTACAAGAAATGCAGTTAGTTTGCAGAGAATCATTTCTTCCGCGCAGCTTAATAGTTCCGACGACTGTCACACTTCAACGGAATGGTTCCTGCGCGCCGGGTGTAGTTTGATTAACGTTTACTACATTACAAAGTTAGAATAGAAGTAAGTTTTACGTATTTCCTTTGACTGCAATTTAAGTTTGTAGCTCTCGTTATCTCACATATGAGCAATCATCTGTCGCTTTCAATTCACCTTTTTCTTCCTTTTAATTCAATTTCATCAAATTTCTCCTTTTCAAGTGTGATTAAAATATTAAAATGATTTCTGTCTCGATTATTAAAATTAAATAGCAACAAATGTTAAATGATATGATAGCAATATACATATAAACAGGCGAATATATATATAAAATGAACTATTAAGTCTTAAGAAAGAGAGAAAGGAAACTGTTACAGGTTAATGATTCTCATGAAAAAGAACCACAATAGATTGAGTATAAGAAATAAGATAGAATCTCTAAGAATGAAACGATATAAAAGTAATAATTGTTAGAAATTTTTTCCTATAAGCGTTTTGTCAAGTTTTATTCAAGATGCTTTTCCATCCACATATCTTTCCATCAACACTTTAAAAAGCAATTAAATTGCTCGCTTCAGCGCGCATTTAACGCATCATTTATCCCCATTGGATCATGCTTTGCTTTCTTCCCAATTTTTACAAAATTTTTTACAAAAATTCCTGATAAGTGGCTTAAATAAGTCGCGTCGAGGTACAAAACACCTAGATTTTTTGTTGATCACATATTGCTGGTTAGTCTTGGTTTTCTTGCTTATTCTCTATAACATGATCGCACGGGTTTCATTGCCAGAAACGTACGTACGACGCGCGTACGTGATACGTTTCGCCTTTCTTTCCATTTTGTCGGATATTTGCCATTCCATCTCATTAAGACGATACAAAAGGCGTTCTAATTTTATCCGTCGATCGGTTTGCCGCGGACAAAAGGACGGAAATCGCGGTGACTCACTAGATCCGATATACCGATCTTTCGTCGTGGAAGGAGAGTTCGCTTCGGTAGTTTTTCTCATCTCAGCGTATCGCGCTGCCTCGCCGCTACCTTGAAAGGATCGAACGGCAGGCGCGGTCATCGAACGAGGATCACCCTCGGCTACACTCACGAAATCGAATGCGATCGGACGAGAAAGAGAAGAGAGCTTCCCCTTCTCTGTATCCCTTTCTATCCCAATCCCGGGAGGTAGCTTTATGGAGTCTTCTTAAGTGAAGCGCGACTCTCCGCGGCTCAGACTCTATAACCATTTTCAAACTCCGACCCTTAGAACCATGATCTGGGCGTGTTTGGAGAACGGATCGAAACTGCCGCCTGCTTTGTTTAAAACACCGGAAAAGTTGTTTCGAATCAACTTCTTTGACCCGCCCTCCAATTTCGGTCGAGACACGGAATAGAGACTTTCTCCCGAAGGTACTTCTCTCGAGAACCGGACTTACGAGATACTTCTAAACATTCGATTTTTATGATTATATGTATCCGCTTTTTCCATTTGCGAAGGGAGGATCGAGCGCAATTGTTGAGAATACGTGTGTATTTCACGGTAAATCGAGCTTTTTGTTACATTCAATCGTAGAGCCACTGTGGGACCATTGGCAACTGGTCCCCGTATAAAATCTGACATCGTCGTCTTCCCACTTTCATACGCAAAGTTGTCTCTTTTGTATTCTCCCAGACTTGAAATTAGATTCCCCTCAAAGTTAACGGTTTCTTTCATTGCTTTTTCTCATTACTCCCTACGTTAATGGATATGATTTATTCAAGTATTATCGCGTGATCAATTAATTTTCATCTTCCGCATAGTTGTGAATTGTTTTTGTGACAGCGATGCGTACAAATTTATAATGTGCGATCAATTCGATTTGTTTTATTAGAACACGCGAATTTCTTTCGGCGTGCACCCCGAACGAGACAATTTCTTTATCCATTATTCTCGGAACGTATTTGGCGCGCAACACAATTGCACTAGTTTAAAATTAATATGCATCAAGGAATTAAAAAAATTTCAATTTAAAGATAAAACAATAGATTAATTCTCCACCATATCTCACTTTACGCGGCTCTACTTCTTACCGGTGACGGCGACAAGAAGAACGTAAAGAAGCGACGCGGAAAGGGTAGAACGCGCATCTCGGTATCTCGCGGCACTTCGCATGATGCTTGGATATGCTCTCGTCTCGATTACACACTCATATACACGCGCGCGCGCTCATTCATCCGTCACAGATCTGCCTTCATATCGACACTTTCAAGCTCCGAGATCCGTCGACGGGAGATGATTCATTGATTTAGACACTGCACTATATATTCCTCGATAGACTCTGTTCCTTCAATTTCTTTTTTTTTTTCGACCTGGATTTTTTGGAACCTAATTATATTAATGAGTATCTTTCAATATTGGTGGAGACGACCATAAAGTCATTAATTGATTCACATTGTATTGATTACGATGAGGACGAGCAGGCTTTAATTTCGCTGCCAATGGGAAAGATAGCATCGTTTTATTATTTATCGCACAATACAATGTCAATATTTACGCAATCGCTAGAAGAAAATTTGACAGTGGATCAATATCTATATATACTTTGCAACTCGTACGAATATAACGAATTGCCTGTGAGACATAACGAGGAATTATTAAATGAGGAATTAGCGAAACTGTGCCGTTATTCCGTGGATCAGTATAGCTACGATTCACCGCACACAAAAGCGTTTCTTTTGTTGCAAGCGCACTTCTCAAGGCTGCCATTACCGTGCACCGATTATAACACTGATCTGAAATCAGTGCTCGATCAAGCAATCAGGATAATACAGGCAATGATCGACACGGTCGCAGAACGTGGCTGGTTAACGAGTACGCTGAGGATAATGCAATTGTTTCAAATGATCGTTCAGGCACGATGGATGGACGAATCCGCAATCACAACATTACCGCATATAAAAAAGCAAGACTTGCATTTGTTTTCATCATTATCAATGGCTCTCCCGGTGTTGTGTTTTAACACGCGCGACAATTATAAGAAACTCGCAAAGATTTTGTGCAGAGACTATTTAGAGGAACAAATACGCGAGGTAATAAAATTCGTTATAAAAAGATATCAATTTCCTTACTGTCTATATTATAAAAAAAGTATTATTATATTACAAAATGTCAATATCATGCGTTTTTGTTTCCTAGATACATGAAGTAATTAGAGATATGCCAATAATATCTGTTGATTTAATGCTGGAGAGTTCATGGAGTATCGACGCTGAAAAAAAGAAGATAACATTGAAGCCCAATAATGTCGATTCTATGATTGTTCGACGGAATGAAGAATATACGTTAATCGTTGGGTTGAAAAGATTAAATGCTTCCAAAAATTTGAAAGCACATTGTCCAATGTTTTTAAAGGGAAAGGATGAAAGTTGGTTTTTGGTATTAGGCGATATTCAGAACAAAGAATTGTGGGCTCTAAAAAGAGTATCTGGAATAAATAGTCAGCAAAGATATCACCAATTGCAGTTTACTGCACCTAATAGTTTGGGTAAATTGTTGGGTATATTTGTAATTCCATATTTTTTTTCTCGAATTTTTTAAAATAAAAAATTGACAATTTTTTTTTTCAGGAAAAACGAAACTAACATTCTACTTGATTTCTGATTGCTACATAGGATTGGATCAGCAATACGATATTTATTTAAACGTAACATGCTAAAAATTGAACAATAATCGAACACCTAAGACTGAACAAAACACGGGTGATATTGTGTTCAATTATTGCAAATCTTTTTATATTGATAATATAAGAGATAGAGCATGAAGAAAAAAAGTTAAAACTTTGTTAACATGTACATTGAAATGATGTCAGAAAAGTGAGCTGTAGGTATGTGCAAATATAATTAGGGCATATGTATCGCAAGTTGTGTATTTAGAAACACTTGTATATTTTTCCTTGCATATTTTTATTACACGTCTATGAAACAATATATAGGTATAGATTATACTCTACTTTTTTTTTCATACAAATATAAACCTTATTACCTCAGTATATAAAGATAGAAAAAGCAACATGTGCAGGATCAGTTGTACAATTCTTAATTTTTTTTTTTTTTTTTTTTTTTTTTTGCGTTTATTTGCGCTTAGTTTTTGATGAATTGCGAACTGACGGTGATAAAACTTTCGAAAACGAAATGAAAAAAGGAATCGACACCGAACGATCGGGGGGTTGCGAAACCCCCTGCGATCCCTCGCCGACGATGGCGCGCTGCGCGTCTAAGAACGACGTAACGTGAAAAGTTTTCCGGTCGACGTACGAGCGGCTACTGAAGCTCCCGCCGCAAGCACAGCAAGCTTCCAGTGCGTCGACTCCGTCGTGCACCCGAAAGCTCATTCTCCGACTCACTCTCGCGTTCGGCCCCGCGGCATTCTTGCTCTCTCAGCCGCGGTACTCGCTCTCTCTCTCTCTCTCCGATTCACGTAGTTCATCAATGCCTCTCTGTCACACTCTGATCATTCTCTCTCCGTCTCTCTTCGTCTCTCCCCTTGCCCAGATCCTCTCTTTGCCTCCCTCACGGCCATTTTAGCGTCGTCGTCGCGATCAGGCGCGCCAGTGTGGGCTGCGCGCGCGAGGGAGCTTTCGCGTCCTAAAGCTGAACGGACGAAGGGCTGGGGGAAGGGAAGGAGTGATTGATTGGCGCTGAAACTTCGCGACTGATTGAATCTTTTTTACGTTTCAATATCGATATCCCGGGGCCGGCGCGTCGGAAGCGAGGAAAGAAAGCTCCGAGAGAGCAAATGCCTTACGTACACACGTACGCGCTATGTAACGCGAGCTTTCGCGTTCTCGCAAGCTTTGGGAATCGCCATACATAACTTTACTTTATTTTCCATTTCACTCGCGATCAACGGCCAGTGACGGACATATCCCCGGCACTAAGATAGCCGCTCTCTTCGTTTCGCGCACAATTCGGCACTTATATGGAAAGACGATTGGATCGAGATTATAGAATGTGAGAAAGTTCGTATAATGATTCTAACGTGACACTAAGAAGTCGGACGCGAACAATTTGGAGAATTACGCTCGTTGTGGCGGATGTTACGATTCAGCTTGATGGATATTGATGACATTCTGCAGGTTTATGCGAACATGTAGAGATGGTCACGTATTATAAAAGCCGTTTAAAAAACTAGCGTGCTTAATTGAACCGTGAGAGATGCGCTAATTACCGCAACTGTTGGCCGATATCCGCGTGGCCTAACATTCCTCTCGATGATTTTGATCGATTATTCGAGTTCATACCTACAATATCGTGTTGGAAATCATTATGCACATTAAGCCAAGCAAGGTGTAACGAGGTCGAATATAATTTTTGTTATCATACCGATTTCTGAACGCGAACAAATAAAGCAGAAAATAGCTTGCAAATATCGCTGATAAATAAGATTGAATTGGAATTGCGTGCTTTTGCTTACATGCTTTATTATTCAAGTTTAGCAAACTCATCTTTGAATCTCGAATACCACATAATGCCTTTACTCATGCCACGTTTAAGGGTGGAAAAAAAGTGTACGCGGAATTGCCTCCGGCGCTTCGTTTCCATTTCAAATGAGCACTCGATTCGCAAGAAAGCTCGACGGCCATTTAATCTAGTTTGGAATAGATCAGATTCGTTGAATATATAGCGCGCGTTGCGCTAATTAAAACCAGACGAACGTATCCCAGTTGGGACGCTGAACTCTGACGTATAATTCGTTCTACCGCGGCATGTGCAATTAACTATAGCTTATTGATCAGGTATGAATGACGAGCCGTGGATAATCGCAGGTGGCATGCGCAAGAAAGTGGTAAAAGGAAATCCGGGCAGAAACAAGATTCGTGGTGCGTGGTGCGTTCGGCCGCCCAGCGCGGAGGTTTGCAAAAAGCGACAGCCCGTTTCGTAATTAAAAATGTGTCTGACAAGAAAAATGGTCGATCGTTGTTCTGGTTTCACTCGACAAGCATATCTCCGCATAAATGGTGCGAGTGTAGAGTCGATCGCCGGTCATCAGTATCTACCGGATATCGGATACTGTTACGATCATTAACACATTGTTGACGATGCGATCGCCTGTCAGTCATAACGTTACGTTTTTAGTTTTATATAAACTGACTAACACACGTGTGATAGACTACACGGAGGAAACTCTTTATAGTTTCGTGCACGCGTATCCTCTTATTGAATTTACAGCAGATTCTGAGAATACATTGTCTTTTTCTATATTAAAAGTTTCATATAAGCGCGTATATTAATACAATTTCAATAATTTATAAATATCAGATATTTCGATAATTTTCATCGGATTTTGACACTGCAGGTTATATTTTACAACTATTCTTATTGAAATGTCTGATAAGTAAATATCTTGATAAAGTATGTCAATCGGAGAAATTATGTCAATCGATACATATATACGTGTTACTTTTCGTCATTTTATAATATCCACCGTATTATTGAATTCTTGCATCATTAAAGAATGACATTTAATAAAATAAAATAAAATATCCAGAATTTAATTTAAAATAACCGTACTGTAACGTCCTCTTAAAATCTTTTAGATCTTTTACAGAGATTGAATAAAAATATTCTTTTAATTTATGACTGTTATTTCACAATTTGCATAGAATAACATTTTCACTTTCATGTTCTACGTTTTGATAAATAAATCTCAAGATTGAGCATTTCTGTTTAGGAAGCATTCATTATTCACAATTTTTTTCATTCGCCTCCAAACTTCTCCGTCTCACATATTGAACAAGTAATAATTATAATGTGATAAGTAAAAAAATGAAATATTATAGTGATCATGATTTTCCTGAGAGATTTTTTAAATATCAATGACAATTTGTTGTTTTTTTTTCTCCTTCATTTTAAACTTAGACGAATCCTTCAAATTATATCTCGAATAGTCTAACAATAACAAGAAATCTGCTGATCATGATTCTTAGCTGGGAAACATCTGGATATCACGCACAGTTACGTTAATTGAGGATGAGTCGACTCCAGATAAATATCCAATCTTCATTCGAAGTACGGTACAGTGATTGACGCATGCCTCGAAAATTATCGATAAAGCCTCGTTCCGCTTCATTTCCGCCGTTTCTCGACATATTAGCGTTCTAATTGGACATACCTCCGCGATTTTTTAATTTGCGCGTTATATCATATTGACGTTTTCTCGTGATGGAAGTAAAATTATGTTTCGCATAATTTTGTTCAAATATAAATTTCTTATTATTTTGTTAAAACTGTGATAATAATAATAATAATAATAATAATAATAATAATAATAATAATAATAATAATAATAATAATAATAATAATAATAATAATAATAATAATAATAATAATAATAATAATAATAATAATAATAATAATAATAATAATAATAATAATAATAATAATAATAATAATAATAATAATAATAATAATAATAATAATAATAATAATAATAATAATAATAATAATAATAATATTAAAAATATTTTATTATCTTATATATACTTTTCTATGTGTTTGCGCGGTAGAAGGCGAAAGTTGCTGATTGTGTCGATGTAATTAATACTCTCCGTGCATTCTCTCCGTGATTGTTGGTATAGCCCCGGTGCCTCGACGGCACATTACTGTCTAATGTCAATTCGGG